AGATCACCAGCCAATGTGTGTGTTAAACACTGAAGGTCATGATTTGCAAAGACCGCTAAATCCACAGTAGGATGATGTCTTACTGATAGCCGACAACCTAAATAGATAATTCAATTGCATCAGCAAACAGTATTGGATGGTGGTAATGGTGTATTGATACCATCCATCCATCCATTGCTGGAGTCCATCCCAGCCAACTTTGGCCGATAGACAGGGTACATCCTGGATTGGTCGCCAGCCAATCGCAGGGCAGTGTATTGATACATTGGATGTAATTTATCCTGACTTTAAACCTGAACTAAACCATCCGGAACTATTTTAGACTGCAGCAAGAAGATTTCAGGTGGATTAGCTGCTGTTTGATGTTCAGCTTGAGGAGGAGGCTACGTCAAATTAACTCCGTAAACAATGAATCAATGATGTGGTTCTGCAATGTCAAAAAGAACTCAATTCTGCGTCTCAACGCATCGACTATAAAATTAAGTGGGTTAACTGAAGTAGCATTTAGTGGATAGGTATTTTACATGCAGAGAGACAGCCAGAGACAGTGCCTTGGACATGCATTTTATTCTTTCTGGGAATTTTTTGGGGATTGAACTAATGTTCAGCTGAAATGCATCCTCATTAGGGGTTTTTTTTTTAATGTAGCATATGGCTTGCAGGTCTATTGTTGCATCCTCTACTGTATGAAAACCAAGTGAAAAGTTGATCTTTTGTAATTTGGTCTCCAGTGTTGAGGGTGATATGGTACATTTAAGAGGAAATCTTTTACAAAACCAAGCTCAAGAATGTTTAAAGGCATTTTATTATTTATGTGGGTATACTTGATGATAAACTACTTGCATAAAGTGTTAACCAAAGGCATTTTCTGGATAATGAATGTACACATATACCACTGAATTTCACAAGCAGAGAGTGCGTTGTAGCATACGGTGTAATAATAAACAATTAATATATTTTCAAGGGTCAGAAGAGAAAGTACAACAAACAACCTGCACCCGTGTCCTTACCCTTTACAAAGACGTGCTCTGGGGGTTGGGTTATAAAAAAACGAGCGGAATAGTAGGTGACCGACTCACATATATTATTATCAGTTTTGTGGAGGACTTAAAGCACCTGCTGAACAGTGTTTATGTTTTAAGGTAGTAAAAAGATGGGAAAGTTACTGGGTAAAGTAAGAAAAAGTTGGAAGTAATTTGTTGAAATGTGTCACTCTCACCGTCATTTCACACACACACGTACTTGCGCACACTAGGCTCCATCCCGTACAGGTTATCACAAAGTGCTCCAGGTGAGTCGGTGATTTAGACCAGTCATTTTCTATCCTCTCTTTCTGGCTGTAATGACTCTGTCCCGAGCCCACTGGCAGAGAAAGATACTGAGAAGTGAGTGCCAACTTTGGGGCACGACGCCCACTGCAGTGACTGATGAGCAATTAGACCCCAGGTTCTCCAACTTTCCCCTTTTTTGGACTAACCAAAGGCCACTTAAATGGATCACTGTAACGGATTGACAAGATTTGGGACTAAGGGCCTACTCCCCGCTCGGGAAGTGTTTATTCTCAAGCACGGACAGAAAGACGTGTCATGACTAAGGACAATGAAATTGTAATGGACTTCCTCAAGATCCTTCACCTATTGAAGATGCTCAAACAATCTCTGACTGAGATTTGAAGGATTACTGCTGATTACACATTTGGGAAAAACAGCGTGACAACTTTCCCTAGGGTTTTGGCATCTGTGCCTTTTTCCCCCCATGTTTTGTGCCTGACGAGACACAAGAGAAACTGTCTAAAATGTTCCCCCGTCTGTTCATATCCGTTAAAAGTGCTTCTTGTGTTGGCCAGTTGACAACACCGGAAAAGAGTCTCATCCAAGAAGTCTTGTGATATGTGGTGCAACCGGTAGACGACAGTGGAGACGTGAGGGTTGGCTGGGCAGAGAGTGAGCAATGTTAAATGAGATGCGAGGGACAAAATAGAACAGGACGTAGATATGAAATTAGGAAAACATTACTGAGGATACAAAACATGTAAAACAACACTTTCAATAACAAGTACATAAGGACTTTAAGCAGACATTGTTACGGCATTGCCTTAATTTCCCGGGAACGCAGGAATAACCTTGAAGAAATTCTGGGGTATTCCTGCGTTCTCCCTAATACGCAGCTGTTGCAATCATTGCTCTCCCCACTTAGACACAGAAACATGGGAGAATGTAAATATCCACCTATTCCACTTGTTCAAGCTAGTCACAGCATACTTCAGCATTAAGTCAAAAGTGAAAACAGAGTGGCCCTGAAAAAATAACTCAACTACGTGTGGGGGAAATTACCTAGTTAATTTAGAGTTTGGGATTTAGGTTCAAATGCAAGATCTGAGTTCTAACAGCATGCAACCTGCCAAGCATCAGATGATTGGATGGAATCAAGTTGGACATTAAATAAAAGTTGCATTTACTGTTCATGTTACTGGGGTCTCACTGCCATCGTCCCTGTAATGCTTCCTTCCAGTGTGTGAAAGGAAATGTTAGTTCGCAATGAGCTTTATAGTTCTATTGAAAAGAGTCAGCCACAATGTGACATACATTGCGATCGCTCAGCCTTACCGAAGTGGTTTCATAGACGAAGGATAGCTCAACGATCAAGATTTTTTTCTCAGATTTCTGGATTTTCACAGTAATCCTGTCTAAGAGTTCTGCTAATTCTGTTTTTGGTTTTTTTAAACATTGTCACATTAAATATTTGTTGTTTCTACGGTGTGGAGGGAACAGCATTTCTGTTACTCAATGTGTGCCCAATGAAAGCAATGTCACAGCTGTCTCCAAGGAAACACTAGTATCCCCTTTTGAGCGTCTCATCCTTCTGTCGCAGCAGTTTTTTCTGCCTGAATAACAGAGCGGCCAACAGCTTTGAACACTTTTTGATATTGACATTTATAAAAAAAAAGGGCGGATCTCCAAGTGCTCGTAAGCTTAATCCAACTCTTCTGTGTTAGCAGACTCTTGTTACACCTCCGCTATGTTTTTATTCTAAACACAGGTGGCAACCGATTTCCTCCCTCAATATCCTGCACCTTTTCTCAGTCATTGTGAATTCATAAAGAAATTATTAGTTCGCAGTCATTTTTTTTAAAGCCACATGAATACCACCAAAGTCTTTATTACTCTTTCGATAACCTCTGTCAATCTGTGATATATCCTTTTCCCTTTATGCATGCATTTCCTCATGCATATTCCATATTCCTGGAATGAAAATGAGAGATAAAAGTGACACCTAACTGACATGTCATGTGACCTTGATCTGATGCATAGAAAAGTACCCACCCCTACAGATAGGGGTTATGTGTGTGTTAACGTCAGCCCGATAAGCCATGTGCGATCTGCTATTCATATAAAACCCTCTGGCGACCTCCTCCAAGTATGCCACTCTTTCTGTCCTTTTCTTTCCTCTCTGAGATGCAAGACTCCCCCGTTACCTGGGCATCATCCGGATCTTGGTACATCAAGCACAGGTTTAATACGTCTCATTCCTCCCCCCCCAGTTTCTTGCTTTCGGGAGTTTCTCAGAGAAACTCAGCCAATCTCATTATAGAGCCGTTGCAGCAGATAGCTGGAAAAATGTAACTCAAAGGTTGTTTTCAGCAGAGGAAAAGATAACAATGCTCCTTATATCAGTGTAAATATCTTTGCGGCGTTGTTCTCGTCACCTTCTGACAACCTATCTCATCTCCTGTGGGGCGAACACCAGCCTTTGCTGTGTAAAATAATACAAATTGTAAGCAAACGAGGAGTCAGTTCTTCTCACGCTGGAGGTAAAAATACAGACTAGCTCTGGGAATTGTGAAGTAAGTCAAACAAACGGAGACCAAGCCGAAGTGTTTGTTAGACTGTTAGGACACTCCTCTACGGTCAAAATTGTCCCACAAGTGAATTTGAACATCTCAAAGTCAATCTTTAATGTTCATCCCGCAGGTAAGATGGTACACAAGCATCCTTCTTGAACAAATTCACCCTAGCCTTCAGGACGGTGTTTAGCGAGGATTTATTTGTCTTTTATGGCTTCTCGGATTCTCAGAGGTGCGTTATAAAACTTTTCAGGGAGCTTTAGATTTGCCACTTTGCTGAATCTAAGTGCTTCGGATTGATGCACTTTACTTTAGAATCTAAACTATTTGCGGACGTGAACGTTCCTAAAGTCGGTAAGAAATTGTGTTTGATAATCAAGATCTCAATGTAAAACAATCATTTTTATATTGGTCTCATAACATAGTCAAGCAGTTCAAGCAAGTCTTTAAATGGCTTGATATCAAATATATCCATCTGCAGCTTAAGATCATGTTGTATAATCAAAAGCTGCAGGTACGGAAGGGACCTTGAAGAGAGATTGCTTTGATGCTTCCTAGGTCAAGACGTACCTCGATGATGCATCCTCTATAAAATTCATTTCTCAAAGCTAAATGTGATGAAAAATGGAAGTAACCCTGCTACCTAAACCGATTTAACACTAAATGCATCGTCAGCATGAGTATGTACCAATAACCAAAAAGGACAAAGTGTTTTTGGTGTGGATCTGACGAAATATAACAATTGATGAACAGCTCAGGTCAGATATGTCAAAACTGTCACCAGTACTGTTAATGACCAGGACGGACTTGTTCACTCATCCCATGTGCTTCACCCTACACTAACCGTTTTCAGAAAGGTGCTTCAGGCATGCTCACATGAAGTCTGCACTGTTGAACAAAGCTGAGTGCCTTTTGGTGCCTTGGGTTCATTGTGCCAGGACGCTTATGGAAAGGATGGAACACTGTTAGTGCAGCCTCAGGGAGGGTTGTGTTTTTGTCTCAGTTTTGGGTTCTGTACTGTAAAAAAAAAAAAAAAAAAAACGCTTTTGAAAGTGAACTATATTTTTAAAATTATATAAAAAGAAAGAAATGGCAACTTGCATAAGATCCCGTAACATAACAGTCTGCGGCTTATATACTGGCCTTTGAAGGGCAAACCAGTGTGCACACTGTGTGGACTGGTAAGGTCAGTTGAGGTAGCGATGAGGCCATGTCAATAACACCAGTTAACTGAGCTATAACTCTGTGTGGCTGCTCAGTCATCGTTGTTTGTACACAACAAACAGTGCTGCTCAAGGTCGGGCAGCTGTCACAAAGAGTCAGGGTCTACGGTGTAAACTGAATACAGGTCAGTCACGAGCCATCTATCAAGCCTGTGAAGCAGAGGTTCAATGAGCAACAGCGGATTTCCTTTTTCCAAGCTATGTCTACTATTTTAAGGGTTCACGACTATAAACTATATAAACTCAGTGCAGTAAATGGGAACAATATTCCTAGGTTGATTTTCAACCAAACCTTTTCTAATGTATGCAGTTGCGCTGTTACTTCCTCGTAACATTGTTAAAATTCAAATCTAATTTGCATTAAATTCAATTGCACCCCCCTTTAATCCTTATAAATTGTCTCCCCTCTGTTTTCTCTCTTCGTTTCTGCGGCCATAATGAGCAGGAGCACAGCCGATACTAAATCATCCTGGTGAGCAAATTACCCAATCTGACGGCAGCCACGCACCTGCACAGCACCTTTATAATCACAGCACAACAACCCTGTACATACCGGGAGAGAGTGTGAGTGAGTGAGTGAGTGTGCGCGCGCGCGTTTATGTTCAAACTCTGCTGTAGGAGAAATTCAACTCCCACAATACACTGCGAAGCATTTAGCAGCCATCAGAAAGAAGTAAAGCTTATTTCGGGAAGAATGACACACATACACACCAAAGCCCACTTCCGCCTCGCCCCCCTTTTCCTGGCTGCCGGTCTTGGAACAGAGATTTGACCTTTATCAAATGGGAGCGCTACCACACTAATCGCCCGGTCCACACTCCAATTAGAGGCCGAAAGAGGAGGGCGGAACAGAGAAGAGGCTGCCGCTAAGGATCAGACTGACGGATGGGAATTCTAGAGGCTGTCAGCTACGGAAAAAGAAGGAGGTAGAAAGATCGGGAGAGAAGCATGTGGCTGGTTTGGCTGCCACCATGTTTAAGAACAATAAATTATTTATTATTGGCTGCTACGTTCCTCATTTTCCCTCGCGTTTGTCGTTATCTTCCCTACTAGGGTCCGGCAACATAGTCAACCACAAGACACAGGTTCGGACGACACAGGCACGACACAGAATGGTTCTTAAAATACAACAACAAATGTTCAATAAAGTCTACAGTCTATATTAACCAAAAAATGAGCGTTTGAGTCATTCAGGTTACCATGGAATGCGATGTACAAGGGGAGCCCAATGTTCCACCGCACGTGAAAACAAAAAAAATCACTACTATTGACACAAAGGTGCACTACAGAAAAATGAAGGGAACCACCGCCACCAGGATCAGCCAGTCACTCCTACCAGTGGCACAAACAGCCCCTGTTAATCAAAACAAAAAGAAAAGCAACCATTAGCAACGCAATATCGGCCAGGAGGCCCACGCACACACAAAAAAGGAAAAGAATTCACAATACAGGAAAAAAACAAAAAAAGACAACAGCAGTGGGAGGGTCCCGTATATTTAGAGGCCCACTTCAGCAGGTGAGCCACTGGCGGGACGTAGAAGCTTGTGGTGCACCACAACGACACAGCTTTAACTGCAAATCAGAGGTAGCAGACAAAAATCAGAGGAGACATCTATAAAAACACCTGGACAAGGCACATGTACACCTAAGCAGTACAGAGGAGACCGCCTACCGTAGGAATTGAATGCTACGCATAAGGCGATCTGCACCGGCTTGAAGGCCACGCTTCCGCCTCCAACCTCAGTCGGCAGGCAGGCAGGAGTCGTCGCTGATGCGGAATGGCGAGACACCAAACACCCTCCGTGCAGCACACGGGACGCCACACACACAATGCGCCAGCCACGCTCCCACAGCCGCAACCTCCAGCCAGACAACCAGCTGACTATCGCAAACACAGGGCGCATCAGCTTCCACCAACCAGCTACCGATGCCGAACTGTAACTAATATTGCCAGAAACTTACCTAAAAGTCTAAAACCGCCACGACTTGACAAGTTGTGCCTCCCTGGACCCTGCAACAGCCAGGCCAGACAAGACCAGCCCAGCCACACTGCCGACTCCAAAGTTTACCCTCGAGAAGAGGTCACACCTGAAGTGGATGAGCCGCTCAGCGGCCCCGCCCACTGATCAAAACGACGGAGGATAATTGCTCACAGCTTGGTGACACATAGTGGGAGGGGGAGCATAGATTGAAAGCCACCTGATTTAGAACAACCCAAAAATGCAGATAGAAGTGAGCGGAGCCACTCTGCCCCATACACCTTGTATGGTATTAGAGTACATAAGTATATATCATATACATTGTGTGTGTTGTTGGATGTGCACAGACAGGTGTGAGTTGATGCGCGTGCACAGTGTCAAGTCCCGTCTCTCCCTGCAGATTGAACTGAGCGCTGATGTGATATGAGACATTCCAAGTTATTGAACCCTGGCTGATTGGATGGTAACAGGGGGTGATTGCTCTTTTATTTGGTGGCCCATGCCAACTGGTCCACAATTTTATTCTTTTTAGACAGTTACACCAAAGACTGAGACAAAGTAAAGCATATGTGGATTTAAAATAAGGCAGGGATTCAGTACAGTGTTGCTGTTGTAGGTTAAATTAGCACACTAAAATGCGTAAAACACCCAATATTATGCATTTCTCAAGTGTGCCGCATCAAGAATCCCAAAGAATTTCCTTGTCACTGATATGAGAATGGACAATGTTTTATGGCCTAGCCCCTTGGTGGTGCACAGGTCTCATCACAGGGACAGAACAGAGCCCAAACACAGGATGCATTAGCCAGGTATTTGCACACAATCCCAATTACACAAGACCAACAAAGAAATCATACCCTGGGAATCAGTTCCCAGTACTACCCGCCCACGCATAACACCTCCTTACATGCAGAACAAAAAATTTCGGGATAAGAGACTTCTTGAGTGTGGTTGTCGCTTCCAAACTGAGCTCCAACCAGTCTACATTTGTTTTCTTACTACCGTTTGATCAAGAGCATCAAGGGCTGAATCTGGACAGAATGCTTAAAAGGAGTTCTCAAGTTAGTGTCTCCCCCCCCCCCCCCCCCCCCGAAACCTTTCCACATTTAATACTAGAAAATGAATGACAAATAGATAATCCGAGGAAAAATATATCACGATATTCACTAGTGAGGGGTTGTGAAAACAATCTCCATTTTATTATTTAACTTTCATTGTGAATTTACTTGAAACACGTCTTCATGAATATAGAAATAATAAAATACATCCAGTACAACAGAAGAAAAATGTTGGATTTCCTTGCTGCACTAGCAGATTTTTTATATGCTATAAACGTGGCTCGAGGGGTGGCAATGAGCCACGTAGTGTCTACGGTTGGGCAAGTTGGGTGCTGACCTTGAAATGGGCCTAGCCTATCTGTCATATCTGTGTGCTGTGCAAAACCAACAGTGCACAGGTCTCAGCACCGGCACAAACGGGAGGGAGGTTCTTTTAAATGAGGCAGTGCAAGGTGTTTTGGGGGGAATTTGGCTATGGACAGAGATGAATCACAAAGCCACTTTGTTGTGTGTGTTATTTTTTTTCAACAAGTGCAAATTAAATGCTTGGCAATCTTGCAAAGCAACAGTGGCATACTGATTGAGATGTAAGTGTAGGAGATGGTGTGAAATTAAATACCCCCCAACCAGTTAAAGACAGAACTTAAAGCTGTGTACACTTATTATGACTTATAGTGGATGACTCCTCTGAGTATTTGTTGTCCACAGCGTTCATATTTTGGGAAATCAGCGTTATGAGGCATAAGATTTAGACTAGAGGTAAGAGGTTATGAGATTTAATAATGAAATAATGTCTTTACGCGTTACATTTTATTTTACAAAATCAGGAAAGCAATGTTAAAGTCCAGCCTGCTGTTTCCTTACACATAAAATAATGATCCTAAACATTTCCATACAGTGAGTCACACATCTTAATCCCTAAACATCAGTATCACATCTGGACTCGATATAAGCCGATACCTGAGTCATCCCTGCTTATGAGTGACATCACTGGTTAATGGCCTGCAAACAAACTCAAACATGATGAAATAGCATTAGAACAAGAGTAAAAATATATACGGATGGAACAAACACTTAAAGCTATTTTTATCTACATTTACTGAAAGTTGTGTAATATCCAGCATGTTCTTTCTTCCCCCACAGTCCACCGAACCGTTATCAAACGGGTGCACATGAGTGGCAGGCAGAGTGGAAAAGCTTGAGTCATTAATGCCTTAAGTACCATTATTCAGTCCCAGACCGACGACTTGCGCTCGCTTTTTTGACTATTCTCATATTGTCGCTTTCACAGCAATCAGACTAATGTAGACGCCCACGATTCTGTGGTGCGGGTAGGTGGGTTTCAAAAGAAATTAGATGAAAAGCAGACAGGGGTTTACAAAAAGGAGAAAGGTTGAACAGAGAACTAACCAGAAGAGAACAATAAAGTATTTTTTTGAATTTGATTTGAGTTCCATCCAAATAATCCCGGTCATGATGCAGGTGATAGACAAGAAAGAAAAGGAATGGCGGGGAGGAGAGAGGCAGACAACAGGAGATAAGAGGGAGGTACTATCAAAATCACCAGAGGAGGCAAATCAATGGGAGATGAGTGTGAAAAGAAAAGGGCAAACCAATGTGTCGCATTCATTCGTTTAGCAGGGAGCACACAATCGCTGCAGGTGCGAATTCAAAGCTACTGAAATGAGGAATCACCCGCACCGTTACAAAGACGACGCAGGGTTCCACTTCTGCTCAGGAAGCATGAGAGTGATTCCTTTGAATCCTTCCTATAGCCTGCAGGTGAGAAAATATCAAAGTTAGAAGATAAAAAAGACAGAGTGCTATTTGTATCATTCTGTCAGACGCTCACTGAGTGACTATGGGACAAAACAAGTTAACCAATGTACATAGTAGATACAAAATATCCTTTTTAATTCAACCAGAAGAATTTGTGTGCACATTTTAAGATTGGATCGCCTCCCTCCCCCAAAACGGAAGAGGCCCACCCTGGATGAGCAGTAATTGGATTGTATTTGGTATTTTATGATCTGTGTGTTCATGCCTCTGGAAGGCGTCTCTGTGGACGGTCCTCAAACAGACTCATTGCCGTCCTGCATGACTCATGGACTTCTTCCATCGATTTTTGATATCTTCCATTCGCCATGGTTTCATTGATTTTCCTCTGCAGTCCCTCGAGGCGTGCCTTAATTGAATATCACAAGACTTTATGGTGTAGTCCCCTTGACCGGACGATATCTTGGGGGTTCTTTTCTTTCAAGCCAATTCAGCGCTTGCAGTGTCTTGATTGGTATCAACACAAAGTCGTTAACATTCATCATGTCAATCTGGCTTGTGATCTCCTGGTCTTACAACTGACTCTAGATACGTCATCCCCAAAGCCGTTACAGGCCTTGTGTGCGTGCGTGAGCTTCTTCCATGGCTTTCTGTTTATAGGCCAGCACATGTGTGACACCCCAAAGGCATTGAGAGCCATTAAGAATTCAGTGGCAAGATGGTGCTTTCTTAATCAATTCTGTGTGATGTTGCAGATGCATTTTGTCTAATTGACACAGAGAGGCAAAAAAGTTCCAGAAAGGAGTATGTGTCTTGTAGTGTGTCATGGCCATCTTGACTTGTTTTTTCATTTACATGACAGGGAAGATAGAAAATCTGTCTATTTTTCCCTAAATTCACTGGATAAAAACACTAAAAGTGATAATCTCACAAGATCAATATATTGGCGACAGACTTCTTTGCTCTTCAAGTACAAGTATCCCAGCAGAGGGGAGGCGCTTGCTGCAGATTACTGTCTACATTTTTAATTTTCTCATGTTTTTGGTATGAAGCGCCGTCTCTTGAATATGTTATTATCTGGCATCCACCTGCTTTTACCAATGTAGTTTATTGATTGTTGAAACCGCATTTGAGAAATCTCCCTACATTTACAGAGAAAGGCCACGCCATGGTGCGACCTCCAGCACAGATTGTTATGTGCAATATGCATGGAAATGTATACCCTCAGAAAGGTCTTTGGCCTGGTTGTTAGAAAAGGCAGGTTAAGGCAAGTTAAAAGATAGCGTAGAAAATAAAATATTGGAAAATGCGTATATAGGGTTACCACTCAGACATAAGCGGGTAATTATCCTATATAGACCAACCATCTAGAGTTTGTAGAGGAGCCCAATGTACTGTAAGAGGGGGCAGTCGCAGCTTAACATCATGGTTATAAACAAGAATGAGGAAGGGAAGACGGACCATGAATCATCTTAAACCATAAACCGATTAATGTCACGACTCCAGACGAATCAGTTGACACGACATCGGCGAAGAACATCAAACACTGACATCAGATCTCATATCTTTATCTGCCTGCAGATTACAGTTTGTGTCTTTTAGTTGTCTGCCTTCTACCACTGATGAATGATGAAGCACTTCAGGGCGTGGGAGTCTGCAGGCGGGGAAAGACTGAACTCTTTACTGGAAAAGGGCATAAACAAGGCGCTCTAATGGCAAAACCTCGCTGGTGTTGATGCATGAAAGTGAGAAGTGAGAAGAGACACAGAAGAGGAGAGCGGAGTGTTTATTTTAGCAATAAGCTCTTGTCTTCACGGTGTCTGCTTCCAGCTGGGTCCTTCTGTTCCTCTGCATGTACACAGTGCATTTAATCAAAAAATGTACCTTGTTTTGGAGTTGCCAAAATGCCTTCTGGGACTGAGCGGTGTTGGCTTCGTGGAGATGGACTGATTGCTTATCCAAACCACGGGCCAAGTGCAATCAATGTGTTTACTTTACTGCTCATCTTGGATGATGACCTCAGACCGAGACAGAGTCCAACAGAAAAAGATTTTAGTGACATTAAGTCCTTCATTCTCACACTCTTGTCACAGCGAAGGGAAAGCACGCTAATGGCACATGATTAAAAACTTTGCTCGGCCATCACAACAATTTGATACTTGTGAAATTGACAGTGTAACATATTGTTGTACTATTTCACAGGACTTTCTTTTTCACTTGACCCGTCATCAGGGCCGG